ACGGGGAGCTCGACGGAACTGAACTGACTGCGTTTCATGGAGCACAGAGTTGATCGAGATGAAACAGGTCCAGAAAAGATGTTGGGATCTTGGTCGGTTGGTACCACCTGTGAAGGGGAGGTTTTGGGCCGACAAGAATTGACTGTTTGGCCCGTTAATTGAAGGTTTCTTCGATGCATGCAAGCTGCAAGCTAGCAGCTTTCTTGACAGGTGGCAAGTGCCGCTTCCGAACTTTGCAGCTTCAAACTTCCGTTTTCTGTCCAAACCGCATGTGGGGTTGTGCTCTCTTTTTTATTTTATTGTGTGTACCCATTTTTGGGGTTGTTTTCAATTGAACCCAAAACGAAACCAACCATTTTGGAGGTGCCCCTATGTTGACACACGCACCCATGCCAACGCTGTGATGGGACTATGACGTGCGACTGCGACCGAGAGGCTATGGGGACTTTGCACCGAAGCACTGGGGCTCGCGGCTGGTGTTGCTTGGCTGCTGTTGGGTTTGACCGAAACACGTTGTGTGAGGTATGGGTCAAAATTAAACCACCAGAAAATCGCAGGTTTTGGTCCAAGTTTCCACTTACCAGGGTTCCATTTGGGGTACCGATTTTTGACCCACAGCCGTGTGAATCTGTTTAATGCCCTCCAACCCCCAGAAGAGAGTTTGACACTTGGACATGGGTGAAATTATTCCCACCTAAGACACCTCCAACTTGGGCCCTCCAAGCCCCCTGAGATAGAAACCCAAGCAGTCCGAGACACGCCTTCCCGCAGCTTCCTCCGTGGTTCCTGCGGGTGCCCAGCACCCTGGGGCCCGCCGAGGCTGGTCTTCTTCGTGCTGGCGTCCTTGATCCTGGTGGCCACCAGCATCGGCGAGTTTCTGGAGTCCCTGGTGGCCCTGGAGATCCGGAACGAGCGCGCGCGCAAGGCCAGGGAGGGGGAGGGGGAGGGGGAGGTGGGATGGGTGGGGGATGTGGGGGATGCTGTGGGTGTTTCTCGGGTGCAAGAGCACCGCCTGCACCACTTCAGATGAATCCCATTATACTTACTGCTCCAAGCAACATGGACAACGTTATACGTAGGCCATCAATGGGCCGTGTGGGCTCCAGCTGGACAATCCTTCCATCCGACCCAGGATCGGTGGCAAAAAGTGGCACAAAGGCCTTTCGCACACTGTTCAACATCACAGACTTCTGATTAAGTAAACACTAAAAGGGGTGGTAGAGCAAATGGGTTGAAATGGGTTTGAACACAAAAACTGCAGTGATGTGAGATGCAAGCGAGAAATCGCTTTCTGTGGAACGCGTTTCGGCAGCAGAGTCAAATGTTGAATTCCAGCGTGCGCCGGGCTTGCAAAAACATCATTCCTGTGATTCCTGTGTCAATCTCAGAGCCTGATGTTGGCTTTGCAATGACAGGTCCCTGCCGTGCAGGTTGATGCCTTCAGATGGGTTCATTGCTTGGTCGAACTGAAGTCCAACTCTCTATATTAGTTTTGCCTCTGTGGGTTTTCTTGAACTCTTTCTTCTCGGTTTTACCATGGATCTCGTGGGTTACCTGCAGTAAACAGCAAGTATCTGTAAGCCTGAGGAGGAGTCATATCAAGCAAATCACCTAATCGATGAAACTTACAGATGCGGCACATAGCCTGCCACGTTCCAGTATGCTCCACGAAATGCTGTGGTTTGCAGCGCGCAACAGAGCAAACACTCTGTTACACAATTTGAGGAAGAAGAGTTTTCCTTTTTTCTTTCGGCGATTCCGCCCAGCCCTCAGCCAAAACGGCCGGAGCCTCGTGCGCGCTGCAGGCCCTGCAGCTGAAGCAGGCGAGGGTCGGGGTCTTCGACCCGGAGGCCCAGAAGAGCCGCTGGCGCCGGAGGAGCCCGAGGGGGGTAGCCGGGGCGTGGCCGGGTGAGGGGCGCGCCTTGGGATTGGGCCTTGCAAAGGCTGCTTGTGGAGTAGTAATTTGTTTGCCTTCAATGCACAAGCGAACAATAGGCAAAGCCAAGCAAGAAGGAGCGGAGGGAAGAGAGGGCAGAGGGGTGGAAAGTCAGCGCAAAGGAGGGACATACGCGCTGCGGCCACTATCAATGTCAAGGATCCTGTTTAGGGACAAATTATCACAATTCCCACAATGAGTTTTGTCCACGGCCCACCGCCACATTTTTGTGGCAGAATTAGGTTCCCTTCTTCCAACTCGACCCCAGCAGGTGGGAGGGTTCCCCAAGACCTGGTGCCCCAAACCGGCATGCAAAGCCCTCACAAGCGCACAGTACATTTGTTTGCTCGCCCAGTAATTATAAGGAAAGCAAATCATGTGGGTGTATCTCAAAACAGAAACCTCTTGCTTTGGGGTCACTTTCGGACTGAAGCCAACTGTGAACGCATTCCCTTTCAAGAGGTGTGGCCCTTTTTTTCCTCCAGCCGCGATGCACACGAGGACCATCTCTTGCTTCTTTGCGCTATTTGCTCTTTTGGCCAGTTGCTCTGTGGTGGCCAAACTGATTCTTGGCGCAGCAAGACAGGGGGCTGGGGAGTGGGGGATGGTGCAAGTGAAGCGGGGCCATGTTTTAGGGCACGCCAGAAGTGTCTCTCTCTCTCTCTCTCTCTCTCTCTATGTGTGTGTGTGTGTGTGTGGCCCCCCTGTTTCTAAGGGGTTTCTGCTGTCCTTTTGAGTTTGGAGTCGGACGCCACCTTCATTCATGTCCTGGCATGCAGTAGCCAGATTGGCCGTTGGCGTCCCTGAAGAGGAAGGCCAATCTAGGCGAACAATGTTCAGGCATGTGTGAAGCCGAAACTCCATTGCCCTGCCGGAGACCTTCAAACAGCCTGTACCTGGATGGTGGTGCGCATTGTCAGTTTTGCCGTCTCATATCAAGTGTGTTTAGGCACTGCGTCCGGGCTTCGGCCAGTGTCTTGATCCCTGTTGTGGGCATCTGTTCCGACTCATGCACTGACATTTTCTACAGACTGTTACCGGACCTTGTCGCTCGTGACGCTTGACTGTTCCAGCTGATCTTCTCAATACAGGCTTGGACTTCTCCCAGACCTTCCGGCACCCCAGACTGTTTCCGTGAACCTTTTCTGTCAGACGAACTGTTTGACAACCAATCCGACTACCCGACACATCAGGTGAAAAATCACGACGCCGTCAGCTTACTCTTGGCTCGCAATTGTTGGCAATAGATGTCTCGCCCCCACGCAGGTCCGATGTCGAACTCGGCAGGCCCCATGGCCAAGGCATCCAGGAACACTGCCGGCCCTACGCCGCCCAGGTCTCCAGTGCACCAGTCAGCATCACCGAGCAGGAGTACGCTTGTGACACCAGCTTCTAGCATATCTGGCGCAGTGTCCAACGCCTCAAGGAATGCCAAAGCTGCAGTTCCGGCTCCTGCCCCCGGCGACGCCTCGACATCGATCCCTACCTTGCAGGTCTGGCCTGCATCTGTAGCTGGCCCACTGCCACAAATCCTGGTGAAAGCACGCCCGGCCACACCGATGACACCAATGACTCCGCTGATGCCAACCACCCCGACAGTTTCAACTACAGCATGCCCACCTATGACCACAGCACCGACCCCTATCGCACCGATCCCTACGGCAACCCCATCAGGTCAGATGCTTCCACCGCCCAACCCACCATCCAGGTCACGCCACACGACGGAGGGAGACCGGTCACGTTCCCACAACGCTTCCCCCGACCTCGAGCTCGCTCCCGGACGCCACCTCCGATCTCCCGAAGGGACTCAACATCGGACAACTCTATCACGGCAGCATCGAATATTGCCGCGTCGGCGCCTACAGCAGCCAAGTCATCATCCCGGGCGCCTACGGCAACTAAAGCTTCATCCCGACGACCGAGAAGCAATCGATCTCCACTTCCGCAGCCTCCAAGGCCACAGGAGCTCACCCGGATGTGGGGTCGTCCTCGAGGAGCATGCAACTACGCCCCAATCCGCAGGCACATCCACCGCTGGTCTTCCTTCCCAACCCGGAGTCTGATCCCTGGAGGAACGAACTTCAGGTGCTGGCCGCACCATATCTTCGTGATGGGATCCCAGTCAATCAGGAGCAGATGAGCTATGTGGCCGCTACCTTGAATGCAGCAGGCATACCGTCTCAGCACTCCACCCTGAACTATGCGAAGGTCAACCCGGATCATCATTTTTATAAGATCACCCCGCACTGGTTCATGCTGACCGTCCCTTACCTTGGGGCCACAGTTCGGCTCAAAGAGCCGACGAAGACGCGACCCATGCTGCTCTGGACTCACGCTTCCAGTGTTGGAGGTACTCGCGGCATCCTGCGGAGCCGACAGATCCATCCTTCCCGGCAGCACTCCTCGGAGTGCCCAGCCTTTTATGCCCAGGGCTGGAAGATCACTGGACACGCCGACTACGACGCTGAAGAAATCGCTCGCACGATGAGCCAGAACTGGAGCATGTCTTTTAACATGGCCCAATTGCTGTTGTTCGGACGCGCTGTTGGCACCTGTCAGCCGATTCGATCGGGAGGAGAGCAAGCTTGCATTGAGGCCCTGGACTCCAGTGAACGTCCTGATGTCATCCACTATGTGTCGGGCAAGTGTTGGATGGTGATCCCGGAGGCAAGTCAGATCGTTGGACTCGCATGGCCTACCGATGCAAAGCCACCCACTGGTGTCCTCCGCTCGTGAACCTGCACCAGGAGCTGTTGTAGCCAATGTCAATTAATGATGTTTCATTGCGAATAAGAGCATACTTCACCACACTGCCGTCTTCGACTACCGACGATATTTTGCGACAAAAAGTGCACGCCAGAGCCTCATTCGAGTATGTGCTGACCTTACTGCAGGTTTTTCCTTTTTGAAGCTTTGTGTAACTAATGCTGTTTCCCGGTCTCTTGTTGCCCCGGGCCCGGTCGAAATTCGGGTGTCGTTTTGGCAATGGTTGTTGTCTCGGCAATGTGTGGCGTACCCCCAGCGTTTAACCCATTAGCAGTCTTGCCGGCAACCTCCCATCTCGTGATGGCTTCTCAGTGGAACTATTCATGGCCGGCGGCATCGGCACCCTCTTCCTCTTCGCATCCGGGATCCTCGTATCTTCCATCATGGTCAGTTCCGCAGTCCCAGCAGGAGGTATATCTCAGCTCCAATCGGATGGAACCCTTGCAACATCAACTTCGAGAAGAAGCAACGTCTCGCATCAATCCCCCTCGGCCCCCACAGATGGCTCACCAGTTCCCTCCTCAACCTCCCGGTCAGTTTTACAACTATCACGGTGGTGGAACAAACCACATGCAGACAGGTCCCCGTCCTCCACCACCAGCACCGCCAGCTCAACCTCCAGTTCGGGCACCTCTAGGCCAGGGTGATGCAACGCAGTACACTCAGCCTCGTTACTCGCAGCTACTCCCTAGCACCTTCCAATCTGACAACATCTTCCTCGACAAGACGGAGGTCCGTGGTCTGCAGCTGTACCGTCACGTTCAGCCTACTCAGTGGTCCAGAAGAGTCGGGCTCGCAGGAACAGCTATCCTGGATCTTCCACTCACGCGACTTCTTCGAGGAGGAGCAGAAGATCACGCATTGCGAGCACTGTCAAATGGCCGCTACAGCACACCAGTCATGGCTCAGACGATAGCCGAGGCAGTCTTATTGACATCCATTCTCAAAGCATTGAGAGGCAGGGAGGTCGACATTGACAGGACAGCTCGCTCTCTCCACGCGGACAATGCGCCGGATAAGCGCAATGAGGCCATGCAGTTTATGGAGCCACTTGCAATCAAAATCGTGGATCTCATGGAGTCCCTGCAGCCCGCCAAGCAGGAGAACCTCACCCGCCACAAAATTGCCGAATTGGAACAACAGTTGGAGCGCTACAAGAGCAAGGGCATCACTCTTACACCGGATAAGAAGCTGCCATCCTCGTCCCCTTCCAATGCCGCGTCCTGGACCCCCACGCCCGGCCGCTCTGACCAGTCCCTCTACATCAACGCGGCCAACTCAGATCAGCCAGGACCTCCCCTACCAGTTCCATCTCCAGAGGCTGATCCAGCCCCTAAGCGACGACCAGCAAAGAGAAAGACCCCGGCGGCTGCCCCGGATGTCACTCTAGACTCAGAACTTCTACGTCAAGGCAACCCCAAAGGTCAACAGGTGCCACTTCCCACCAGCCTCACGGACAAGGTCTTCAAGGCATGGCTACACGAACGCACGCTGTCCAACCAAGCGACCTACCTTGATCTCATCAAGCAGGAGCTGGCATCCGACACGGTGGAGCAGCTGAAAACCATTGCAGTCAAGTGGGGGGCCACCATATCCTTAGTGAGCAAGGGATCGAAGCGAGCACTCCTGCAGTTCATCACGGTGATGTACATGTATGGCAAGTGAGGGGAGTGGCGGTAGCGATCACGAGGAAGGAAGTTAGCACCATTGACATGACTGGCACAAAAAGCCCGCTGCTCCTCACGCCTGCACCTTGCCCTGAGACCATCAGCGGCCTTTTCTCCTTCCTTTTCTTTTTCCTGTGTTTCTCGGGGTTGCGGGTGGGTTCTTTTTCTGTTTTTCCGTTTTTTTTTCCGATCTTTCCTGTTGACCCAATCAACCGTTCAGTGCTCGAGCGTTGAATGCATGGCTAAGCCATGCCGGTCATTCAATCTCCAGAAACGGTTCTTCTTTTGCAACTATACAGCAAGTATGCACGGTCGGAGCTTTACAGTGCAGCCAGACACTATGGTATCCCTGAGCCATCTTGGCCAGTGAGCTTGCAGCATGGCACCGATTATTTCCTTCCCTACATCGTTGCGCTTATTGCAATCAGACTCGGGGACTCCCTCGATGTGCATGCAGCCCACCAGTATTATCAGGTTCTCTATCTGATCATCGTCACGAGTCGCCAAATCCTCAACATGCCGATGGTCAACAAGCAACTGTCTATGTGGTCCGAGTCAATGTCCACACTGTTGATGGTTCATCACTACGGTCGTCCTACGCACGCACTCACGGAGCTCAGGCGCCGACTCCGGCGTCTACGCATCCACCCGAACATGTACACCTTCACCCACTTCTTGCAGCCCAACGCAGTGTACTGGAAGCAGCGAGTCGAACTCCGCCCGGACCTTCCACGCTCCGTCAACCCGCAGTCGGACGTATATATTGGAAGCACCAGCATCACTTATCCCAGTCGAGAACACAATCGTAGGGCCAAGTTACTGGGTATTCAGCACGGACAGTTTATTAATGCGGAACCGGCCCTCAGATGGTGGCATCATTTTGGCAACTATGACGAGTTTGCTACATGGGTCATCTTCACAGACTCCGACCACACCGTCACCTGGACCCAGGAACACGCCTTGATTAGCATCTATCAGCCGTCCCTCAATTGGCCCTACATTTATCGGCGGTACAAGCGCATTTCCACTGGCTATACGGCTACCAGGTTTCTCGCCGAACAGCCCTGGTCCAGGTTCGGCAAACGCCTTTTCCTCCGCTTGCGCAGGAGGAGTTGCACAGTCTATGGCAGG